CACAGGGTACTAACACGCGATGCAGGGCTCGACGTGATGCCAGAAACGGCACGCTGACCTTCCGCCGCCCCTCGACGACCCCCGGCCAAGCCTCCCAACCCGCTGCCTCATCCGAACACGCCTTCGCCGCGTCAAACGCCGACACAGGCGCGATCCCCCAGACCCCCGGAGCCGCCAGCTACGACTACCCGATCTCGTCACAGTACCAGAAGGAGTCAATCCTGGGCTTGTACAGGAACGGCACGGCGGACGCGGACCCTTCTGTCGTGATAGAACCGGGATGGACTCCGGGACACACAAACGGAAGCGCTGCGCGGGGTTGGGGCAAGAGCAATAACAGCCATAACTCTCAAGATCCCTCAGCCTGCTGGAACCCCCGTGGTGACGGCCACCCTGTAGGAGTGAACGGCTTGACGGATGAGGAGGAAAAGGTGCGCTGGCATGACGGCACTGGTAACCACGCCATGGATACTAATATGAGGCAGGCATTCGCATCCGACGTCAATTCTCCTCTGAAGCCGCCCATCCAAAACAAGGAAGCAAACCAAGCGCCTGGAACCAACGGTCGGAAAGCGTCTCTGTCGCACGGCAGCGCCGCTGGATACGGTCTTTCTTCTCCAGTTTCCGCTTCGAGACCGGGCACCCGACGCCGCGAGACGACAGACTCGAACCCCTTCGGCGGCGGCGCCCTTGCGTCCCCGAGTGCAGCGCGATTCGGGGCCCGCGGCGACGATCAATTCTTGTTTGGACGTAAGAATGATGTGAAGGAGCAAGAGCCGGACGAGGTTGAGAGCCCAGCTCGGTCCCAGGCCAAGGCCCCACCGTTCGGCGGTCTGACTCGGAGCAATACGGCTGGCGCTCCCTCGATGGGCGCCAATATCAGCTCCCTCTGGAACAATCCTGGCCAAACCTCTGCTGGTGGTGCGGGCGGTGGCGGTGCTTTTGGTCAATTCGCAATGCCGACGCCGACCTCTACCATCGGTTCCGGCGCTCGCGGTGGAAGTCGCTTCGCTAACCTGATCAACAAAGACGGTCCTGACAGCTCCGCCAAACCGAACGAAGCCCCCGCCTCCGATACCCAATCCTGGCGCTCACGCCCTCGCACCGACACTGATCCGTTCGGAGGCGACGACGGATTATCCGGCAGCGCAGCCCTGGGTGGTGCACAAGACACGAGCCCCCCGGCCGTTCCCAATCAGAGCAATATCGGGATGTTTGAGACGCCCATCAAGGGCTCGACTGGCGATTTCGGCATGTCTGGTTTGAATCTTGGTCGACACTCGGAGCAGGAGCCCGGTCCCCAAAGTCCTGCCGAGACCAACCCATACCGTAGCCCTCCCGCCGAGCGCGGTGAATCTCACGATGACACTGGTGCTGACAAGCAACATGGTGCGCCTATCGGTGGGGAGCAGAACCCTGGCTTCAACTCACTGCGCGGCTTCCCCAGTCATGCTCTCGACGGCAGCGATCGCAGCCAGACAAGTAGCGCTGGGCCTCGCGGCTACGGCTCTGGCTGGCCTGTTCCTCTCTCAACTGGCACCCCTGACCGGGAGCGCGGTGGCTTTGGAGGAGTCTTTGGTAACTCGTTGTTTAGCCCCATGGGTACTGAACTTCAGTCTCCAGGCTTGGCAGGCATCAATGCTGGGGTCTTTGGGCCCGCCAGCGCCGGCGGCCTTGGAGGAGCTGGGACTATCGGTCGTAGCAAGCTGGGCTCACTTTTCCCACCCGCCATGCAGGCTCAGATGCAAAGCCATGAGCAGGAGAATTTGAGTGACTCCCTCCCCGACTTGCGCCAAGCCAACCCACTGGGCGCTATTGGCCGCAGCAACTTCTCCGCCCAACCACGCGAAACTGGTAGCCCCATGCGCAGTGGCCGCGGCGGCATCTTCGAGGAGATGTTCCCTTCTGACCCGACTCGCACGCACAGCGGCTTCGGTGGCGCAGACCTCTCTCACGCCGGAGCGGTTGGCGTAGGACACCCGCAGTCGTTTACTCCCGGGGCTTCCACCGGTGCTGACTACGGTGCTCAGCGTACCATGGTTATGCCTGATCGAATGAGATGGGTTTACCTTGACCCTCAGCAAAACATCCAGGGACCTTTCAGCGGCTTGGAGATGAATGACTGGTACAAAGCCAACTTCTTCACGCCCGATCTTCGCGTGAAGAAGGTCGAAGATGTCGACTTTGAGCCACTCGGACAGCTCATCCGGAGAATCGGAAACTCCAGAGAGCCGTTCCTTGTACCCCAGATTGGCATTCCTCACGGCCCTCCCACCCAAGCCGGGCCCTTTTCTCCCAGCGGCAGCACCGGTGTCATCCCGCCTCTCAGTGGTGTCTTCCCTAGTTTTGGCAGAACTCTAACTGCAGAGGAGCAGAACAACCTCGAGCGCAGAAAGCAGGAGGAGCAGCAGGCCATGGCTCAGCAGCGGGACTACATGATGCGGCAGCAGGCCATCACTAGATTGCAAAGTCAGGGTCCAGGTGGTGTTCCCGGTCTTCACCATCAGCACAGCGCTCACAGCCTGCAGAGCCAACCTAGCTTCGGCAGCATTTCGTCTCCGATCGGTGCTCACCCCCATCAGCCTCCCATTGGCGGCGGTGTTGGGCCCACTTCCGGCTTCTTCGACTCTGCCATCCAGCAGAGCTCCGCCCAGGCCCCAGTCGGGTCTGGGCTTGATCATTTTCGTGAGGAAGATCTCGCGAACCTGAATCCTACCGAGCGCCAGATGCTGACCAGCATCCAAGCTCCCACCAGCCTGTCGAGCATCTTCCCCCAACAGCCCATCGGCGCTCCCGCCAACGACACCAGCCTGCGCAACAACCTGCCTGGCACCGAGGATTTGGAGAAGGATGAGGAGGGCTTCAGTGAGCGCCTCAAGCAGTTCGAAGACCTCCGCGCCGAGCACGAGGCGGAAAAGGCTCAAGAGGCCCAGCACGCCGAAGAGCTTGTCGAGCAAGAGACCCCCGCGTCAGCTTCCTCTGCTCACGCGACGATCCAGGAGCAGTCTCGTTCTCCCGCTCCCGGCATGAAGGAGATTATGGAGGAGCAGCAACAACTCTCTTTGACTGAACAGGTCCAGAAGGCTCAGGCTGCTGCTGCCGCCGCCAAGAACGCTGCTGCGGGTCTGCCCATGCCGTTCCCTCCCCCTCTGCCCACCGCTGGCACTCCCCTCCCGGCTCCCACGGCCCAGCGTGCCCGCTCCAACCTGCCCGAGCAGTACAACCGCTCCCAGACCGGAACTCCCGACACCGGCTCCGCTACTGAGCCTCCCCCGCTGGCTCCCTGGGCCAAGGAGGCCGCCAGTCGTAAGGGCCCTAGCCTGAAGGAAATCCAGGAAGCCGAGGCTCGTAAGGCGGCCAAGGCTGAGGAGGTCGCCGCCGAGCGTCGTCGCCAGGTTCTCGAGCAAGAGACCGCCGCTCTCAGAGAGCGTGAGAAGGCTATTGCTGCTGCCACTGGAGGCCTGCCCACAACTAGCACTTGGGGCAACGGGTCCCCGGTTTCAGCCGCTAGCCCCTGGACCAAGCCGGCCGCCACCAAGGCTACCCCCGGAGCCAGCACGCCCAGCAAGCAGAAGACCCTAGCTGACATTCAGAGAGAGGAGGAGCTCCGCAAGGTCAAGGCCAAGGAGATTGCTGTCCAGACCGGCCTGGCAACTGCAGCTGCAGGTAAGCGCTACGCCGATCTCGCCACGAAGCCTAATGCCGCTCCTGGCCTCCCGCAGCCTGCCGGCACTGCCCCCCCTCCCGGAAGCGGCTGGGCCACCGTCGGAGCCGGCGGCAAGGTCAAGGTGCCCACCGGTCCGGCCGCGCAGACCCGCTCCGTCAGTGCTGCTGGTGGCAAGACTACCCCTGTGATTGCGAAGCCTGTAGTCAAGCCTGTTGCTGCTCCCATCGCGGCTCCCGCTAAGACCGATGTCGCCATGGACGAGTTCAACAAGTGGCTTAGCCGTGAGCTGTCTAGGGGAATCACTGGTGTTGACAGTAAGTCTCACACGAGTCCTTCAATATTGAGAGTCTCTAACCAAATATGCAGTTGATGTTTTCGCCGCTGGTCTGCTCATTCTGCCTCTTGAGCACGCCCTCATTGCCGACGCCATCTATTCTAGCTCGAAGACGATGAACGGACAGCACTTCGCCGATGAGTTTATCAGACGCAAGAAGCTTGCCGACAAGGGCATCGTGGAGAAGCAGATGTCTGGCGACAGTAAGGCTGGAGGCTCTTCCAGCGGATGGAACGAGGTTGCCAAGAAGGGCGGCCACAAGGAGCCCGCCCCTGCCGGCGATGCCGCCATCCAGGGCGCCGGCTTCAAGGTTGTTCCCACGCGCAAGAAGACGGGCAAGAAGGTCTAGGAGAAGCTGTCAGACAAGCTCTGGACATGGTGGAAATGAGGCACAATGAGATTCATACAGTTAGCGTAATCATGTACTATCCCATGGCGATGTTGAGGAGACTCGGACAGCGTTATTGCGTATGGTTAGTTGTTCATGGCGGGATCTCATCATGTAGCGTATCAGTGCAAGCGGCAGTATAGCATTGTCAAGAATCAGTCTTCCCTCGCAACGTTGCATGAGTTAAAGTGAGCATCTCTTCAGAGTGAAATCATCAGGGTGAGGGTGGTGGATTGAGATGCCCCGCGGTGAGTTCGGTGAGGAGCCAGTGAGCTGCTTATGTAAAAGTGACAGACAGCAGGTGAAAATTTGCCCCGCCCCCACCATGGAAATTTCGATTTCACAGGGCATCAAAACACCCCAAAACAGCCCCGTTTGACTCACCGGCGACGAGACGGAATCGAAGAAACGCTACTTTGGAGGTACCATTAGGCGACCCTAAAGGACTACGACAGCCTGCAGGTTTCGCATCGTTCTGCCTGAATTGCGAAATCTTAGAGGTTTTCGTTTCTTAAAAGTTACCCCGCCGCGGGGCAGACTTCACCCACTATCGCGACATTCTCATTATCGCAACCGAGATTATTCGCCTTGCGACAACAACTCAACTCGCCATGGCTGAACCCCAGCAGGCACCGGCCTCGCTGCTATCACAAGTCGCAGACGGCGCATACGTCGACGTGCTCACATCGCCGGTCGCGAAAGATGTCATCGCCAGATTCGCATCCTGCCTCGCACAGACCAGCGAGCAGCAGGCGCCATCTGGATCCCTCCCCGAAGACGAGATCACCGTCGGTCTTGCGGCGCTGAACGCCTTTTTGCAGTCTAATGTCACCGGTCCCGTTCTGGAGAATGTTGGAAGGGTAGAGAATCTCTTTGTTGATGCGCTTGCTGCGGCAGACACATCCGCTGCCGAGGACACACTCAAGGTCCTGAGGAGGAAGAGTTTTAAGGAGTTGGAGGTTGACGGTGTCTCGCCGTATCCGTATATCCCCAACATCGAGCTCTTCGCCCTGGCACGACACATCTTCAACGTCTCCTCCTCCACCGAGGATGTGGTGACTCTCTCCGACGCCACGCGCCTCAGCGTCCCCTGGACCCGTCTGCGCATCAACGTCTGGCACTTCAAACTGCTCAGCCAGCCATCCCTCGGCCCCGGGTCCAACTTCGCCAAGGCGTCGCAGTGGATCGACGTGCCCACGCTCGCGGAGCAGATCACCGCCGGCCTCGACGCCGTGCGCAAGCAGCTGCTCGATGAGGATGTCTGGGCCACCGGCGAACGTGCCGCTTGGTCCCGCGAGGAGAAGGTGCAGTTCCTGCTGGAGGCGGCGAATACGCACATCATGCTCGGCCGCGACGACAAGGCGCGCGAGGCGCTGAAGGAGGCGACGCAGTTGAATAGCTTCGCGTACGCGCTCTCTGGTGCGCTGGGTAAGAGGACGAAGTTCCAGGAGAAGAGCACTTCTCAGCTTGTCGTCCTCGCGAAGTCCGACGTACCAGAGGAGGTAGCGGAGGAGGAAAAGACCGGGCCTGAGGCCGTGGCGCTCAACGACGACACCCTCCTCGAGGAGATCCAGTTCTCCAAGGACGCGACGGGCAAGCACGGCGAACTCGCTGCTGCACCTTCTGCGCTACCGGCCGCCCTCGCGGATCTCTCCCCAGATGCGCAGCCCCGCCTGTCGCCCCTGGACCAGATCATCCTACTCACGGAGGCGACGCTGAAAGACACCTTCTCGCCGGTAGACACGTTGACTTCGGAGGAGGTCCTGCCGTACGCCGTGCGCGTAGTCTCGGACAAGCCGACAAACTGGCAGATCTACACGCAGGCCCTGCTCGTGCGCTCCCGCATCGAGGTGCACCGCAGCAGGACCGTCGAGCGCGGCGTGCTGCAGATGCAGGCCGTCGTCGACCAGGTCGTCGTCGACACCTCAGAAGCGCCGCGCCCCAAGGCCGAAGACGTCGCTGACGTAGACGTGCCGGCTATTGCAGTCACATCACCCGACACCACCACAACAACATCGCAACAACAAAAGCCAACCTCCTTCTTCCCCGCCGCAAAGGACACCGACACTGCCCCCGCACACGTCCGCCTGCAGTACATCCACGCCCTCTCCTCCCCGCCGCGCTGGCACCTCGAGTCCGAACTCGCCTACTCCTGGGCCGGCGTCGGCTCCCTCGTCTCCGCGCTCGAGATCTTCAAGCGCCTGCGCCTATGGGCCGAGGTCGCGCTGTGCCTCGCCTCCTCCGCGTCCGCCGATGACGAAGACGGCCGCGGTTCCGGGGGCGAGCAGAAGGCCCGCGCCATCGTCCGCTGGCGGCTGTTCCACAAGACCGGCACCCCCGCCGCCGTCGAGCACGCCGACCCCGATACGGAGCTGGAGGACGGGGAAGACGTCATGTACCTTAAACCAGACGCCTTCCAGGGCCCGGAGCGCGTGCCGCCTCCGCCCAACGCACCGCGGCTGTTCTGCATCCTCGGTGACCTGGAGAACGACCCGGCGCACTGGGAGCGGGCGTGGGAGGTCTCGAAGCACCGCTTCGCGCGCGCGCAGAAGTCGCTCGGCGAGCATTGGCTGCAGCAGAAGGACTGGACCAAGGCGCTGGAGGCATACCAGGCCGCGACGCGGTGCAACCGCCTCAGCCCGGAGCTGTGGGGCCGGCTGGGCGACATCAGCCTGCGGATGGGCAACTTTGCCGACGCGGCGGAGGCGTACGGGCGCGCGATCGGGGCGGCGGGCGAGGTTGTCGGCGGGGAGGACGCGCGGACGTGGAGTAATCTGGGGAGTTCGCTGTGGAGCATGTACCTCGAGACGGTGGAGGATCTGAAGAAGAAGATGCTCGATGAGAAGAACAAGGAGGATGACGATGAGGAGGAAGACGAGGTGGAGCATGCGCAGAGCGACGTCAAGGACCCCGCGACGCTGCTCTCGCAGGCCCTGGCGGCGTACAAGCGCGGCGCGCAGATTGCGCAGGAGAACTGGCGCATCTGGGACAACGTGCTCACGCTCGCGTCGCGCATGCGGCCGCCCGCGGTGCTGGACATGGTCCTGGCGCTGCGGGCCATCATGCGCATCCGCAAGACGGAGGACGCGCTCGACGACGACGTGCTGCGCGCGCTCCTCAACGAGGCGCTACTGACCAAGCAGAAGGCCGAGGACGACGGGCACGGGGTGTACACGCCCCCGCGCGGCACGGTGGAGCGCGCGGTGGTCGCGCTCTTCGAGGAGAGCGTGGTGCCGCTGATCACGACGCGCTCGGAGCTGTGGGGGCTGGTTGTGAAGCTGCGCGTGTGGCGGCGGGAGTATGCCGGCGCGGTGGACGCGGCGGAGAAGGGGTGGCGGGCGGCGATGGGGGCCGGGGCGGGCGGGGGGTTGACGGCGAGCGCGGCGGGGACGGGGGGCGTCGGGGAGGGGAGGAATTGGCTTGTGGATAAGGGGGCGTGGGGGGTTGTGGTGGAGAGGACGGATGAGTTGGTGGGTGTGCTGGAGAACTTTGGCGGCGAGGTGGAGGGGGTTGGGAGCAAGTGGAGGGGCAAGGCGAGGAGCGCGGTGAGGAGTGTGATGAGTCGTGGCAAGGAGAGTTGGGAGGGGAGTGAGGAGTGGAGGGTGTTGGAGGGGCTGATGGAGGGGTTGAAGTTGTGATGAGAGAGAGATTTTTTGCTTGTTAGATGGGATAGACAAAAAAGAGCATTCCGGTATGATCAAAGGTGAACTGACATTTGCATTATCGCTGAGCTCCAGCCGTCAAGAGATGGTCAATAACACGGGATCTTGCCGAAGAGCAGTGATGATTTCGTTTTCTCAGATCCAAAGACGAAGAACTTCAGAGTTCATGGATATTCAACACTCGCCGTGCTAGATTCAAGCCCGTTATCCACTCACCTTCATCACATTACCATCATATCCACGTCTGTACCATACACACCTAGCATCTCGTCTCTTTCTGTTCACGTAGAAGCACCCAGCCATTGTCTTGCATCCGTAGTCTCCACTCTCCCAGCCCTTTCGTCCCTAGATATCGATTCTGCTCTTGAACGTCCATCAGGGCCGTTCTCGTCTCAAGCAGCTTCTTCTCCGACGAATCAATAGCAAAGAATGTAGGAAAGGTCGAACTCTTGACCACATTCAGCCCGGCCATCCTCGCTTGGATCAGCGCAGCTACCAGGACGACTGTCGACAGCACGACCTGGCACGAGATCAAAGTCATCCACCACCAGCGCACCTTAACGTACGTCTCGCTAACATACGCCTGTCCCGTGATGTACGCCTGTTCCGTCGTCAGGCTATCACGGAGACTATTCGTCAAGCTCCTCGCCACATTATTCGTCACATTCCCGACCGCCTCGAACAGCTGCTTCTCCGTCCCGTTCCGCTCCCGCCGCACCACGTCCAGCACGTTCAAGTACCGCGACGGCGCCCGGCCGCGCTCGTTCTCCGTCGTCGGGTACGTCCCGTTCATCGCGCTGGACAGGCTCTCGATCAGGGGCGTCAGCGCTGTGCCGCCGTACGGGAACGCCACCCCCGGCTCCTGCGGCATCGTCACCGCCTCCGTCGTAACCTCCACCTGTTCCTTTGAAGTCGTCGACTCCGGCACCAGGAACGTGCCCTCCTCCACCTCGGCGGAGGAGTGAATCAGCGTCCGCGAGAAGACGTTGTTCTGGACCGAGACGTTGTAGCGCTGCGCGCACATGTAGAACATGACCTCCATCGCGCCGGTGGTTTTGGTCGTGGTGAAGATGACGGTGAAGTTGAAGAAGGCGGACTGCGGCACCTCGGCGGCGGGGAGGAGGGACGCCTGCCCGTTGTTGAGGCTTACCAGCCCGGTGAGGGACGGGGCGAAGTTGGCGAGGGCGCCGTTGGGCAGGGAGAGGCTGCGCGGGGTGCCGGTGTTGACGAAGCGGCTGCTGTTGCCGTTGTAGTTGTACGTGAGCTGGTCGGTCATGTTCCACATCTTGGTGCAGATGGCGAGGGTGCTGAAGGGGCGCCAGCGGCACTCGGTGGTGGGGCAGCCGGGCTGGTCGAAGGGGTAGAGGGTGTTGGAGTCGTGGCTGAGGCCGGCTTGGATGCTGGCGTCGTAGGTTGCGCCTTTGATGTCTGCGGGTTGTCAGTATGCAATCACGCGGGCATGACCGATTTAAGCGAAGAGATCAGGGAGAGACTTACATGGGGAGTACCAGCTGACTGTCATTGGATTCCAGAATCGAACCAAACGAGCAACCGGGGAGCTTGGTAGGATCGGAACCTGGCGCTCGGGATAGGTGACGGAAGATTGTGTCAGGGCGGAAGTGAGCATGGCAGTCACCAATACGACCATAGATATGACACTCAGAGGCCTAGGCAGTGTCAGTGTTTCCTCTTTCCTCTTTTTGTTGGCTATGTCGGACCGCTTACCAGCCTTTCGTCGTTCTCACCAGCTGAAGACTCCCCCATGGCCCGCGACTAGCAGCATCGAAATCCTGAAAGTCCTTCAGGGCCCTCTGCTTGCGATACCAGAGCCACTTGAGTTGCGACAAGCCCTCGGACACCGGGATGACAAAGGCGGACCTTGCGACAGTAGCAAGCAGAGCGATTACAGTGTTGAGGGTGAGTCCAGAGGGCCAGTCAGGCAACTTTCTATTGTCGTAGTGGCGTAGGAGGATGTACAGAGCGCAAACTGATATGAGGCTGATGGCGCACCATATCAGCTCCTGCCACCATGCCAAGAAAGTTGCGTTCCAAGAAAGCAGGTCTTTGTCAGGCTTCGGGTTTTGTCTCTCCGATATCTTTGGGCTGAGATCTCTTCTGCCGTCCGAAGCGCCAGCTGTTGAAGAACCCGAAGATGGCGTCGAAGCTTTCGAAAGCAAATTTGCGTGACCTCTCCCTGAGTCCTGCGCGTCACTGTTCGGTAATAGAACGGGATTGATGCTTGCCTCGGCCACAGCGGGGTTCGAAAGCCTATAATGCGTTTCCGAATCGTAGATATTGGTGGCGTGTTCTGCGCCAGGCACGCTTTGGTATCCGCCTTCATTGGCTCGCCACGGGTTCTGAGCAAACTCGGTAGGAGATTGATAAGGCTCCAGCTCAGGACTCAAATCATGTCTTGAGATCGAATTCGGGACACGTTCTGAGTGGCTTGCACTAGAGTGCTCCTCCGAGTGCTGCGCGACAGACTTCCTCCGAAGTTGGAAACCTCCAACAACCCCACTGTCCTCCGATTGCATCGCGAGTGCGGTGAAGGAGGTCAGCTACAAAACCAACTTCATTGATTCATGAGATTGACGGGCATTGTCCCACAGAAGGAAGAAACAGTTTGGGGAAGTTGCAGGAGAAAAGATGGCAACAAGAGAAAGCCAGCTCATGTAAAATTCAGGCTCCAACGCTTGGCGAGGGAAATACGCACATGTCGGTGTTGTGGGTCAAGATCCTGGAATCGAAGTTCCAACAGACTTCGTCGCCCGGCCATTGGCCATGACATAAAGTATGCCAGGGGGAACCAACACGCCGAACCCCCAAATAGGCTCGCTTAGCTGTAATTGCAACGTTTCTGCAGCTCAGCTGCGCTCTGCCCCGTTGGGGGTTGGCGGATTGACGGGTTGCTTGCCACCTTGAGGTAGCGTTCGATATTAGTATTGAAGAAGATGCGGGATCCTCGCTAGGGTTCAACAAGCGACTCTGTTGTCTTTAGGATATTCCTCCAATCCTCGTTATGCACGTGACGAGCTTTGAAAGCAAGTTCAAACGGCAGGCCAGGCGCAAAGACTGTCTGTAGAGGATGCAATGCGTTAACGCGTTTTTTGACGTGAACAACTCAACTCCAGAAGAGTGATTGGCGGCTCGTAACAGCTGAATCACCAAGAAGTTGATAGTTACTGGGAAAAGAACAGCGCTTGTCAGTGTCATCGTCAATACTTCATTGACGCAACGAGAACAGCAGAAGACCGCACAAGTGACAGCAGAAACTTAATGAGAGGTGACTGGAGTCCTTCCAAATGGCGGATAATAGACTGGCCATGACAGACATATTCTTAGGCCATGTTTTCCAGGTGTTCCTCGCCTACTTCGCCGTCATCCTTCCACAAATCCAGGGGAATATCGCTTCCAATTGGCCCCATTGTATCGCCATTAACGGCGTTGCGCCCTACTCTCCTCCATTTCGCGGATTGATTTCATGATCCAGGCAGGTCGATTCCAGGGTAGGCCAAGACGAGCACTTGCACGGCTGTCTTGAATAATGTGATCTCGATGAACATCGCAGCTTCGCAAAAGAGAACGACGATGACGGTTGACAGAAGCGACATTGAATTCTTACATCGCCTGTAACGATAGACAGTCGGCGTGCATCAGTAGTTGGTCTGCTGGCGAACGATCCAGCTACCTGGTACGGCGTACAGTGCGACGGAGAAAAGGTTCCAGGGCACGATGTGCTACCATATGCCGGCACAGGCAACCGCGGAAATTGCATCATCGCGTTTCAAAAAAGCGGCCTCAGGGGACAGAAGTTTGGCGATGGAAGAGAGAGATTAGGCGAGGCGGGATGCCGTCAATGGTAAGGCACGTCATGTGGATTGATAAAACGAACTCGTACGAAGCACCAGTGGGGCGAGGTAAGGTCATCCGTTGACCTAAACTTTTACGTCTTCGTAGACTTCTTTCTACCGACGGGATCGTCAATGGCACGTCTCTGAAACTCATGGCTGTCAATGCTGGTTGGACATATTGTCATATCAGTCTTATTTGTTGGCCTTGTCTATCCAGACTTCAAGACAAGATGTTGACATAATTGAAAAATCGTCTCTCCTAGCGGTTCCCGGCGCCTGCGCTTTGGACGGAACCTCGCTGGCCAGAACATTGAATCGCCGAAGAAGAACATCTGCTAGCACAAAATAGCAATTAACTTGGATTGCTTAGCGCAGGTCGAGGTTGACGGGTGACGCGGCCGACGAACTATGTCAGGTAGTAGAAGACATGAAAGATGACCACGATTAGTGCCAAAGGATGATGGGGCATAAGCGAACCTGCCATCCCATTTGAGCGCTCAGGAGGGCTAGCCGGGGGAAAATCAGATGGGATGACAGCCTGCGGGTTCAGTTTGAAACCAGGTCTGCAAGATCAGTCATCATGGTTGTGGCTTTGGCTGGTATATGACTGATGACAGAGCTCATCAAGATCTCTGGTGTGTTATTAAAATTCACACTTGCGCTCAGCGGGTGCCTCATAGCCGGTGCTTAGGGACATAAATCACAGTCTTGTGAAGCTGGGATGTTGTTGCTTGCACTACGGGTTGCATGACTAATGAACCCACCGGAGACCATCGCACAAATCTGCACGCCCTAAGAAGCGGACCTGCCTTGAAAAAAAGAAGGGAAAAAAAGAGAAGAGGTCGTCGTTTTAAAGACGAGCCTCCTTGGGGGCATCAAGAACTATCCCAAATCCCAAGGGCTCCACCGTCTCCACCGTCGGGCACTTGTCGTCCTCCGAACTGGCACTGCATGATCTGCATGACGAGAACCGTAACACCCACTGTGAGGACTCTGATTCGCCAACGGGCGTTCACGATGGAGATGGGGTGGGTCTCCCCGCGTCACATCGTGGGCGGGAGTTGTGCGACAGGGAGTCCGGCGGTCTATTCCGAGATGTTTTACACGATGCCTTGGACGGGAAAC